AGCAGAGGGCTGTGCTCAGCACTCAGAGCTTTCTTTCCTTTTTTTTTTTCTTTTTGTCTTTTTTTTCCCCTCCCTTCCTCCTGTTTGCTCAGCATCTACTGCACCAGGCTGGTTTGGATTCACTGCAGCCATTAACCACTCGACCAAAATGCTGATGGATGAACCCATGCGGGGAGAGCGGCCTTGGTGTGTTTAATGGCTGGCTGGAGCTGTGCATCCCACTGCCTCCTTCCTTCCCTTCTCCCTGCCTCTGCAAACCAGTGTCTACTGGGGCAGCTGCGTGGCTCAGCCTCCCTCCTGCTCCCATCTCCTGCAAGGGCACCCTGCGATGCATAACCGCCTGGTAAAGTCGGTGGGGGTCAAGGCTTCCCTGCCCCTCTCTAGGAGCATCGTGCCCGTGGATATAGAATGAAGCAGTGGCAGAGCAAGGAAAGAAGCCCAAGAGTCCTTGTTTCCATTAACTGCTGGTAGTGGTTTCCTTTGTCTCTGCTGGCGCTCATCACTGGAAAAAAGTTAATTAGTGTGTCGCTGTCAGTTCTCATCCCTACCCCCAGCTTGTTAATGGATGAGGCAGTGCTGTCAAAGTGATCCCCTAATGAAAAGCTGTTGGGTGGGAACCGCAGTGTTGCTGGAGCTGCTGAATCTGGTTCTTGTGAGAAACGGTCAAAAAACTTCAATTCTGTAATGAGTATTTCTGTCCTGGAAATGGCAGATGGGGGGGACAGGGCAGGGTTTTCAGCAGTGGTCCAGAGCCACTGCTGGGATGCCATCCTGGCCAGGATGCTCTGGAGTCGGGGAGGGTGAACAGGCAGTGCCAGGCTCTCTGCCGGGCACGGCAGCCTGGCCGGTTTGCCAGGGGCTGACGGCAGCTGGTGGCTGCAAGCAGAGCAGGGTCAAGTGGGTGACAGTGGGGAGAGAGGGGGCAGCCCTGGAGGCGATTCGGTATGGGGAGCCTCGCACTTGGAGGTGCCCAGCTCACCCCGGCCGGGGAGTCGTGCAAACCCTGCCTGACCCGGGCAGCGTGCGGTGCTGTCACCTGGACAGCAAAGGCACAACGGGGATGTCACCTGCCTCTTCTGCAAAGCTCCCGGCGCCTTTCCCCTCTGCCCCCTACTCCCACCTGTGCCTTCCTGGGGGCTCCTGGTGCCTCTGGACACACCAGGCAACAGAAGTACAAACCACCCAGCTCCCAGCAAGGACCTTCTTTAAATTTAAGAAGTCAGCATCCCCCTCTCCAATTCCTCCTGCCTGCCTACCCTGTGCCCGAGGGGAGAGAGTGTCCAATTAGTCTGGCTTTAATTGGTGCAGGCTGCCTCTGCTTCTGCCCCGGAGCTCTGCTGTCCCACAGCGCGGTGGGGAGGGATGCTCCAGTGATGTCCTACCCTTCGTCGCAGCCTTGGCAGCGGCATGGACCCCTACCAGCGGGATGCGGGGCTCTCCGGCCAGACCCGTAACTGCTCAGAGGTGCCCCAGGTCTCACTCAGTGCAGTCTGTGCCGATAACAAAATGCATCATCTCTTGCAGAGGCTGTAAATTGGGAAGGGAGGCAGGACGTGTGTCACCCCCCAGGGAGCCTGTGTACGTGTCGTGCCATCCCCTGCATCCCAGCCGTGGGGCTGGCGCTGGGATGCTGTGTGGGGCACGGTTGCCTTGGGGCTTTACGTTGTGTCCCCTACAGTGGGTCTGGGAGGTCGGGCTGCTGCCCAGTCCCTTCTGGGCTGCGTACGGCCCCGGGACCCTACCCAGAGCCGGTGCACTGCTGGAGCAGAGGCCAGGAGGACTCTGCCTTGTGAAGTGCCCACCCATGCGAACGGCTGCCGCGCTGGGATGCTGTGTGGGGCACGGTTGCCTTGGGGCTTTACGTTGTGTCCCCTACAGTGGGTCTGGGAGGTCGGGCTGCTGCCCAGTCCCTTCTGGGCTGCGTACGGCCCCGGGACCCTACCCAGAGCCGGTGCACTGCTGGAGCAGAGGCCAGGAGGACTCTGCCTTGTGAAGTGCCCACCCATGCGAACGGCTGCCGGGTAAGCCTTCGAGGGGCTCCCTGCCTAAGGATGAGCCGTTTGGGTGCAATGCCGGGGGTGCTTCGCCGGGGCGTGATGGTGCCTGCAGGGATGGGTGCTG